CAACCTTTCTCATGTGTAAATGTTCAACTTTGTGTTGACAGTGTAAAAATATGCAACTTGACGTCACATGGTATATAGACTGATTGTAGTCTCACAGTCCAGAGACAATTATTAGACTAAACAGAAATCATTCTATTAGTTGTGTAAAAGTGGGATACTAGAAAATGAGATCAAAAAAGGAGAGTGAATCAAAAGTTTTTGAGGTGTGACAATACTGAACTGCCTTTAGTGTGGGACAATAAGGGAAGAGAGTCAGCAATATAACCTTGCAACAGGTAGCTATTTTGGGGCTAGGCTACAACAAGTCTAGCACATTGGGGTTCCAGCTCTTGAACCATCTCAGTCAATACTGGATCCAAGCAATAGGAGTTGAAAAGCATCTCATCTCAGAGTATTTTTAAATAGATTTTCATCTTAAATTGAAACAATTTGACCTTCACCCCATCTGAAATTAAGGATAAAATAAGCATCTTTTCTGTTTCTCTGAAGAAAGTGATTATTTTATATCTATGGAATAAAAGACTTGTATTTATATATAGAACTTGCTTGCTGCCAAGATGTGAATTTGCTATTTATGACGTTTAAAACTTCATCATTAAGACTATTTTGGTTTAATTTCCTACACCGTTGAACCAAAATCTTTTGAAGAAAATATAAAAATCAGGAATGACTGTAAAATGACGCATTGATAGTTTTCTCAAAAAGATGCATAATGAGAGAGGTGAAGTCAAAAAGAGAAGGAAATAGAGAGCAAAAGGGGAAAGGGGAAAAGTAGAGAAATATATGATGTGTACACCAGCGCAGTGAAAGCAAACAGCTAAATTAGTCATGGAAGGAATGCAAATTTGCTTCCCCTGAGTGTTATGCGGTAGAATTACCCAGAGAGAAGAAGAGAGTGAATCATGCCAACCCCCAGCACCATGTGATTTATTAGCAAACATCCAATTCAATAAGTGCTTAACATTCAAAAAGCTGTGAAAGTCTCATAAGGTGGCATTAACTATACGATATTACCATTCCTACTGAAGGAAAGCAAGACAAGAGGCAGGGGAAAAACAAAAACGCCCACTTTCCAGAGCGATCTTGGTGTGACGTGTCTAGTGGGACTGTGACAGACTGAAAACTCACTTGGCCTTTTCCACAAATGCATGTTACTGCTCATTACCATAGACAATGAGGTTTATTTATTGACACTTCAGCCCAAATAGCCTCTTCATTTTGAAAAGGGCACAAAGAGAGACTCAGGGATGCTGAAAAATTAAAGTATCATAAGAACAGAGACACATAGGATACAACATTACCAAAGTGCATTTGTTGTTTCACTTCTAAAAATGGTGATTGGGTTAATTAGGATGAGATTAAAAAAAACTGATAATAGATCATAGGAATGCAAGACAGTTATTCCTCTGATAAGCACTGTTGAATAACTTTGTATCTTTTTTGTACTCCAACATGATGAAGTACAAAAAACATCAAAATAATCATTTCAAAAAGTGAAAATCATTCTTTACCTTCACTGCATGGTGATATGAGTATTAACTTTTTTGTGCTACTAAAAATTATTTCACTTGATTTGATGTTGAAAGTATGCTGTTTTTTTTTTTATTATGTTATTTTTTTATGGAGAATAAAACCAAAACACTAACATTTCTGCTTTTTTTTTACAAAACATTTTCATGAATGTCTTTTTTTCAAATCTGTTTTTATTGTTGTTTTTTTTCTCTCTCCATTCAGGTTTGATCAGTGTTTTTGTGTTGTGAGCACAAGATGACGCGATGCAGTCAAGACTTATTGAAACACAGTGAAATATAATAAATAGGTCATGAGCAGCTGCCGACTTCAGCATTGGAGCATTTAGTGACTTGTGGTACACTGAAATTGTTTACAGATACATTTTTTCTAGTCTGTCCCTCTTTCATTCGAAGTTCCCAAAGTGCTCCCAAAAAACAATTTAAAAATGGTGGAAGCTTCTTGATTGCTTTTGGAACAAAACCAATCTGTGTGTGACCTCGATAATAAGTATTTAATATCCAGCTCTGTTCATACAACAGGATGACTCAAAAATGACTTCCTTTCTTTGAGAGAAAAATTTATTTCCTGTATTTCCTGTCGACACAAAAAAGTTATGCTCCAATGTGACACTGAATACAATCAATCAGTTACAGTTTTATGCGTATAAAGCACTATTAATGCACTAATAACTGACTAAAGAAGAAGCACATCAAGTCCTGGAGTGGCATAAACAATCACCAGATTTTTAGATGGAGCTTAAAGTTTGCAAACAGCAATCAAAAACCTGAATGATTTACAGTTTCTGTAGAGATGGAGGACTGATATTCTGTCTCTCCTCAGTAAAATGAAGTAGAGTTCTTCTTTGTAAGTGAGGAAACGTACCAATTCACCAGAGCATCAAAATATTTTTTCAACACAGAATGCTTAACAGCAAATGTAACCAAATTAAATTAAATAAGCCAATATGCTGCATGCTAATGAATCTGAAATTGCTCGTTTTTATACTCTAAATGAGAAACATAATTTGCTTTTGCTGTTAAAAAAAAGATCAACACGAACACGAATAGCCAATTTATAAAACTGCATTCATCTTCTTTAATTGTTCTCGCTAAGTAATGTTTTAATTTTAATTGAGCATCTTTGTGACAATATCTGCTAATCTTTCAATTACAACCTCATTTAATTGTCTGCAACGCTTTCTGCTCTATCACTTATGGAGCTGACAGCACTCAAAAATTGGTCCATGTACACAGCAGGAAATGGCAAATGTGGAGATTGGAGAGAGAGAGTGGAGCATTCAGGGAGAAAAACAAAACTAAATATATTTGTCAGGAGACAAAGGAGTGAATTAACTCAAAACAAAACTGAATAAATTTCTATGTGCTCTCGACAGGTGGTGAGGAACAAAACAAGGTTTCTAATTCCAGCACACAGACAAAAAGTTTGACATCTCTTCTGCATTATGATTTTCAAAATTGGTAGCTGTTTCATCTCAGGATGAGACTTTCATGGGTTTGCTAATACTGAATGCATTATTTCTAAGAGGCGGGATGGGAAGTTCAGGGTGGAAGTGTGAAAACCATTCTGTGGTTCACTGGAACCTGAAAAGAAAACATTTCCTCAGAGACAAACACATTAAACCAGAAATCACAAAGCCGTAGAGCAGAAGACAGGGGTCTGATGAGCGGACTCCAAAAACTGGCACCACCCAAAAGAACAATCAGAGACAATTTTTAGGCAGTGAAACTGAGGTTGAGCTAAAAATCCCAGAGCAGTTAACTGAAAGACAGATATTAGAAATCTCCTAGAAGATGTTCTAAACTCAAATACATGAAGAATTAATTAGTGCATAAGCTGATTTGTATTTCCTCCATGAAATGTCTATTCTGATGACCTTCAAAACCAGGACAAGAGATCCAAATAGAGCTTATATTTCCATGCAGAAATGCTTGTTGCCAAATATCTGGGATAATTTGTTTGAATGCTTTATCATATCTTCATTTTCTTCTTATATACTGTTTCTAAGGCAAAAAGAACACAAAAGGCAGATACTAGTTTTGCAGTGACATTTATCTGTCAGTGTAAAAAAAAAAAAAGTGAGCCATTGAGGGAACCATTTTCTCACTCAAAAACAGCTTGGACATTCAGGACTGGTATATTATGCAGTGATAATGAGATATTAGACCATATCTCATTAAGATAAAGCGAGAAACAGGCCTCTTGGGGTCAGAGGGTAATCCATGTTATGGTGTCCTGGCCACAGTGCCAAGCAATTAAGCTCAAGAAACCAAGGATAAACGGAGCAGTGTGAGCTTATTAGAATCCAGATTTCATAAGGCTGCAATATCCTAGGTAAGGAGAGAATAGGGAAAATCCAAACACCAGGCATTTAATTAATATTTTCCTCATGCCTGAGATAGTTCCTCAAGAAAATATTTGCATATAGTAAGAAAATAACCAAATTTTCCTTCTGATGATGTATTTGAATGAAGAGAAAAACAGATGCCAACTTTGCAATGAAGCCAGTTCCTTTGCACATTCACATATAAACCAAGCGAGTGTCTCATGCCAGAAGTGAAAAACCAACGTGACGCTTGCCAGCAATGATCTCCAACCAATTATGATGTATTACCAGAGATACTTGGCTATCAGAGAAGCCAGCATATCTGCCCTTTCGCAATAAGATGCAACGTTTCCAGGCACACACAGGCCATTGATTAGGGAGGCTCAACATGCCGCCTGCAGTCTATCAACGCTCGGGGACCGGTAATCAATTCTCTAATGCCGTTTGAGCCTATTCACTGCAGCTATGATCCACTGGTTGCAGATGCACATACACACCGAAAGCCACCAACAAATGTCGATGAAACCCTATGAGCAACCAGGCATAAAACAAATATAACCCAGATGGCCATCAAAAAACACTGAACAGCTCTCAAATGGGAACCTACCAAGTGTAGCAGCAATAGGGCAATGTCATCTACTGTAATGGCATTATCAAAATGAGTGCAGCTCTCCTGAGGCAGACTCTGGTTCCTGATTACCTAGTAGTAGAGGACTGTGTTCATGGCCAAATCTGATCAACATAGCACCAGACATAGGGGTGGCGAATCAGGAACTAAGCCCCTTATCTCTTCTGACAGGCCAGAGCTCCTTTATGGCCAATGATATCCTCCGAGGAATTAATCTGATTGAGGTCAGTTAAAAGATTATGTTCTAGCAACGCTCCTAAAAGGAAAGTTAAAGTCCAATTTCTCTTTTGAGAAACTTGGATCAGAGTGAGTCACAATCTCTGAAGGATTTCTAAACCAACTGACCATTAATACCTCAAGACATTGTGTTTGAGACACCAGATTAGGGGACAAGAAGCAAATAAATTAGTCACAAAGCTTCATTATCACAACAAAATCAGGAATTTCTTAAGAAAATTCCATTCCAATCCAAAAATATTTAAATAATTTCAATTACACAGTGGAGTTAACACTTACTTTGGTGTTTGAGTGTCCTCCAAGCGGTTCCCCAGCTGGAACTCATGGGATTTGCTCCGATGCAACGCCGTGAAACCAGGCAGCAGATAGATGAGCTTGCGGCTTGGCGGTGGTGGCGTTCCGGGGGCCTTCACTTTGTTCCTTCGTCTCATGGGGGGAGTACCTGGTGGAGTCATGGTGTTGATCACCAAAGGAGTCCGAGGAGGTGTGTGACCAAAATGCCTTTGGCGAGGCGATGGTGGCAGGGAACGGTGACCAGAGTCCAAAGAAGGGAAGAGTCCTGTGGCGGGGTTTTCAACAGTAAGTCGATCTGCGTAGAAAGGGGGCGCCAGAGCTTGTGGACTGTGGCACATGTGCTGGTTGTACTTGGACTGAACTTTGGGGCTTTGGGAGAGCTGGAAACGAATCCACTGACTGGCCTCTGGCTGGCACACTGGAGTGTTTTCCTTTCCAGATTCAGAGGTGGGCCACTGGATGGACCAGTCTTGTTTTGTTTGGCTCCCTGTTAAAAAGGATAATACAAAACACCTAGTTGTGACATATACTAAAAAAAATGTTTAAAGGGTTTAAATAAACAGTGCCTTGAAAATTTGGCAATTGAACCTTTTTAATGTAGTTTATGAATTGTGTATTTTATAGAAAACCAAAATGTAACCTAACTAATGTCGAAAGAAAAAAATGCTTGGTTTTAAAGACTTTGTATTCTGTCTATTTGAATCAGTTTTTCACCATCAGAACTTCAATTGCTTGCCGTCTGCAAGGAATCACTATTAAGGAAAGAGGTCTGTTTAGACATGACCTAAGAGAACAGCTGAAATATGCTATTTACACTAAAATTAACAAACCTGTAAGAGAACCACAGGTCTCTGTGGTCCTAATACAATAACACTGCATGAGACACATGCTTGACACTTTTAGTGTATCTTGAGTGAACAAGTTCATATAACCACATGATGATATCTAAACAGGTGTTTATATTTACTTAAGTGTGGCAGATTGTGATGTCTCTTAATTGGACAGAAAGAGCAATGTTTCTGTGCAGCACAGGCAGCAAGCAGATGTTTTGCAGCAAATGAAATGATCAGTTTTGCTACTGGAGCATTGGCGTTACTGTTGGCATATGTCTCCATATTAGTGGAGCTGCTGTGTTTAAAATGTGGCGATGGACAGACTATTCAGCAGAAGTGGATGGAGCAACAGAATAAAACATAAAAACAGAGAAGGACAAAGCTGCATGAGTCACAACAAGCAAACTTTGATTTGACCTTTATTTTCACTTAAATGAAAAAAAAAGATGAAAAGAAGTAAAAGATTTAAAAGTGGAAAGCCAAAATGAGTGTTTTTGAGTTTAAGTGGCTATACATTACCTCCGTTACTGTGCAATTTATCCTCCTCAAGTTGTTCTTCAGAAAGAAACAAAAGAATATGTGTTTATTGAACTGGAAGGAAAGCAGCAGAAATACTAGCTTTTGTTCTATGTGCAGAAAATAATATTATTAAAATGCATCTCGGAAACTTTTAAGCAAAAGCATCCGTTTCTGCATGGTTAAGTTCGTGTTAAAATTCCCTCCTCTAAAAATTGCCTCTGACCTTCTAGCCACTATTAATGCATATTTCTGTGAGCAACTTTCAATTTTAAGTGTTTTTGTGTCATTATTTCTGCTCCCACGGCATTGTCTCTAAGGAAATGTAAACATGAAAAACATAAAACTTCAAATATATTTTCTGTACCAACAGATGAACCACCGGAGATATCTGCAGTGAAATATTCCCACGAGTTGGAAAACTTGGGGTAAAAATGCCACCAGCCTTTTTGTGTTCTTTAATGTTATAAAGATGAGCTTAGAGAAGCGATGAGCTGGGAGAGCAAAAAAGAAAAACAAGGAAAACAGTAAAAGTCGTGCTTATAAAGAACTATTTTTATTTCTTGTTCTTTTAAATAAATCATGCAAATGTTTTATTTCACCTTTTATATTTGCAACATTAACTCCTCCAGAAAGTTGTGTGAAGTTAATTTGAATTGTAATAACACAGAGCCAGTTTGTTTAAAATATAATATCTTTGTTTGCACAATAAACAATCCAAATTAGTTGTACCATATATAATCCCATCCAATCTATAATAATCTGGTTTCTTTTCAAATATTTATTCATATAATGCAATTCAGCAAATACATATATTTTTTCTGAGCGATTCAAACATCCCACACTCACAGAAATCTAACTCAGTGCAGGCAACATGCCACCTGTCAATGCCTGTGATAAAATTCGAACCCAATGTCAGTGAAACAGTACAAGTGGTTAGTTTCTTGTCTCTTGCTGACAACTTATCAGGGAACCTGTCGCTGGTCTTGTTGTCATGGAAACCTGTTGGTTCAGGCACTGCATGGCACATAATATCTGCACAATATTTTTCTTTATTTGATGTGCTTCTTTAAAAAAAAAAAAGTCACAGCATTACATTGTGATCTCGACGTAAGTACACAGCAATGATTAATTCTTGATAACCTGCTGACACATTTTACATTTACAGTCTAGAAATGAGTCTTGAGTCAATGCACTTTGGCCACTCTGCCCTCAGTGTCACCACCTGAGGAACGCACCTGCGTTTGAACCCAATATCACCCCTGAAAAACTCTTTAGAAATGTACAATGATGGAGAGAAAAGATGAGGGCCTGATAGATATACCCGTCGCAGGCCACTCAAGTAAAAGTTCAACCTGATGCCACATGAACATTCATCAACTCCAATAAAAAAGTGCACAAAACTGAAGCTGACATCACAGATGGGAGGCAGCAGGAAGATGATTGCAAGTGGGCTGGTTGAAAGGTGTTTAATGACTGACGTTCGAGATGGCAATTAGTGTGGTGCCTTTCAAAATTAAGTTGTTTCTGGGAATGTTGACCGATCACCTTTGATTTGAGTTATGAGCTTCCCTTTGGTAATTATAGTCTTGCATGCTGCTGCCTCTCTTTACTGGTACTTCTGACAGTTCTCGTTAGATGATACCCAGGCGAAATTTTCTCTGCAAGAGAAGCAGAGAGCTTGACTCTACCTCGTGAAACTGTTGCCTCACATAATGAGTCAATTCATGGAGAACATTAGTATCTTAGCAACTGCCTCAGGAAAATACTGTCAGGGCTTGTGAATTTATTCTGTCACATAGTTTCACCTGAGCAAAGGACTGTGGCTAACTAAAAACAGTTTGATGATAAATGAAAGGAAGAAGGCATACCAAGCACAACCCCTTTGAGAACTGCAATCTAACTTGTTAGTCATTTTCAAAAGTACATTTCAGAAGTTTCATCTTTGCAAAGCTTTGATCTTAAAAGTACATATCTATATTTCAGAATTTATTAGAACTTCGGAGAGCTGATATTAATAATACCAGGACTATAGTCTACCCTGCTATTCTCTAATGTTCCTTTGAAACATCGTAAGGGTTTCAAATGAACTCCACAAAATGATAAGAAAATATGCTCCACCACTTAAAAGGTTCGGCTTCTCCAAAAACAGGATGACGGTGCGACACACAAGCAGTAAGTATCCAGTCATGAAGGCTACTTGTATAATAAATATGTGTCATCATTAGATATGTTGGTGCATTTTCAGATGTTAGTAGTGATAATAACAAAATGTTTATCATGATAGTTTGCAATGATCTCTGTTGCACAGTACAATGTTTTAGGGATTTCTATTTGTTTAGGTTCTCAATGGCAGTTGCACATAGTGATGCTGTGATGTTGGCAGAATGAAGATGCAAACTCAACGGTTTAAAAAGCTTAGAGTAAAATCTGTAGAAAAGAACTCCACCACTGCTTTCCCTGCTAATTGTCCATCGCTGTCAAAACAAGATTAATTATTTACAGCTGCAAGCACACTGAGCATGCACAGATGCAAGTTGGACAGACATTATGGTTGATCAAGGAGTACACCTGTCATCACTATATATTACTGACACCTGCTTCTTCACTGTTAAGAGATGTGACACACTCCCCTTTTTTAAACACTTCCTTCACCTGACAGAAGTCTTCATTGCACCAGACAAAAAAATAATGTTGTTTCAATGTAGATTTGTAAATGAAACTAATAAAATTATATGTTACTTGGTACGTATGTCAGCTAGAACACAAAACATCAATATATTTTAAATATTGCAAATGTTCAGACTAAATCTTAAAGCTTTGACATTTGCTCAGTATGTACTTTGGTTTGGTGAGTTGGTGTCTTTCTAGGTAGTTTAATTGACTGGAGGTTTGCTTGGCTGGTTGGTACTTTGGTTGATTGGGAATTTGATAAACTGGTAATTTGATTGGTTGGTTGGTTGTTAGGTAGGTAGTTTGGTTCCCTCCCAGGCTGACTAGTTTGGATAGTTGGTTAGTTGATCAACTTATTTATTGTTGTTGATTGTTAATTGATTTGTTTGTTCAATAAATTCTTTTGGTTGATCTTTGAGTTAACATAACATCCATATTACAGTGAAAATGCAAAATAAAACATAAACTCTGGAAGAATTAAAGATGCCAACTATTAGTTTCTTTTTGCACTATTTCAATCCAAATAGCAAATATGTGACTATTATTCATTTAACATATTATCAATTAGACTGACATGTAGTTTGCCATTGAAAAGGTTTCTATCAGACCACTGGACTGTGACTTTAACAGTTTGCACAAGCTTATTGTCATTGTGAATGATGGAACTCGGTCACAGTCTCATTCCGTAAACTGAAAAAATTTTCAGAGCACCATCAATAAAAAAATGTCTTCACAGCTCTTTGCTGACATGTTTCTTTGTAAAAAATGGGGTAATAGATTTTTCTCAGCATGTTTCTTGATGGACAAAAAGTTAATTTTTAACCTTAACCTACATATGTACAGACATTTTAGAAGTCTTCAATTTAGCATATGGCCCATGGTGACCTGTCTGTTTGAGTTTTTATGTTAAGGTTGCAAACTGTATGCATTGCTTGTTCAAATATATGGAAGGAGTTCAGGGTGAAGCAGTGATGAGATGTGCCTCAACATTGTGTTGCACTGACTGAATGATGCATTGGCAACAGATGCTCTTCTTCCATGCATTGAAAGCAAATCAGAATCAGTGCCTCAATAGTCATGAACCTCAGGAGATGTCACTCCAAACCAGTCATTGTATTCAGATTTGTTGAAGGGATGAACCTAAAACCTCTCGGGGATTGGAGTTGGAACCGCTGATTTATGTCTCTTTTGATTTTGCTGTTGTTGTATCTTGTGTCATGGTAGGTTAATTGGGATGTTTGTTTTTTTTTTCAGTTTTTCATTATAGACCTAATTGGTATTCTGATATCTAATTTTTCATTTTTATCATTTTCTGCCTGATCAGCAGAATGCTGTCATCTCTGACCTACTCAACCCACATGGTCTGTTTGATGCATTTTGCTTATGTTGAAGCTGGATGTCCACTAACACACATTCATTCAGCATGTCTTAGTCAGTTGTATATCCCAATTAACCCACATTAGTTGCTGAGTTACAGATTAAAAAATTCCAACTCACAGAAAGTAGATTTTAAATTGATAATTTGATCTTTATCTAAATACTTTATTCCCTCCATTCTTGGCAACCCCATAATTTCTTTGCTGAAAATTTCATAATAAGAAATTCCCCATTTTTTTAAATCTTACCTAAACCAACATGACCGCATGGTTCAGGTGTTCCAAAGGATGCACCTGAACCATTTAGATTTTGTTTTCCTCTTTTTGCTCTGCCATCTTCAATGCATAAAGCACGTCCCATCATCATAATGGGTACTAATTTAACTTGCAGCCTAGGCATTGGTAAAAGCTGATAACAGCCTCATAATTGGACTAATTACCTCCAGATATGTTGCTTCTTTTGGCTAAATGGCAGTGAAATGCCACAGTGACTGGTCCTTCTGGCTGCCATTGTAAACAGGATTTAATGAAAAGGGCAAGGGCTGTGTTCAATAAATTCAGTGTCCCTTTTTAATCTCCACTCTTTTGAGTGGATCGGTTTGTTGAATGTTCTCGCAGTGTAATCACTGGGACTCAAAGTTGGGCCCTGCTAATTAGCTAACAGTCAATAGAGACCACCTGGGTGCTCAGGAAGACAGTTGTTAGTGGTTCGGTCAATTGCTTCTTTCAGTCGTTTGCCTTCTCTAGTCTATCTGGGCTTTATTTTCTCAACAAGACTATGTGAGTCTTCCTTACCTGCTATTGTCATCACTTATTTCTTGTGATGATTCTACATCTCATCACCCCTTCACATCTCCAATCTCAATTCGTCTTGTACTTTGTTCCTCTGTATGTATTTATTTCTCTCTTTTTTCTTTTTTTGGTGATGGCATTTGAAGCAAAGTAGGTGTGTGTATGTATACAACGCATTACTTTCAAAGATCCAAGATTACAGAGCAAACACGAAAGAGCGCTGCCGTGCTAAGAAAAGATCAACACTAACCTTGATCAACAGAAGGCACAAATATTCTATAAACTACTCATGTATGTTTGTCTGAAAGTATTATTGTGTGTAGATGTGTCTCCAGGAGTAGACTTGATAATATGTACATAATGCGGCACAAAGAATTGGCCTGGCTGCCTCCAAATTGTATGACTCATCCTTAATGTAACTCAGAAGAGCTTGTAGTTCTTTTTTTTTTTCTTTTTTTTTTTGCATCAGATTCCGTTCTCCATTATTTCACTAAAAAAGCAACATAGTCACTTATTTTGCTTTTTTAGCAGATTGATACAATACATGCTGCAGTCAACAATGTTCTGGTCTGCCAATTTTTGATACAAGTGAATCATGACCTTAAGGAAAAGATGTATTAAAAAGCAAAAGCGTCAGCAGTTATTTTTAAATCCTCCTCAATTTTCATTCAAAATGCTTAAATATGTGTATTTCTGCTTTGAACATTACCTTTTAAAAAATGCATCTTCCACTCCTTTAGAGTCCAAATTTTGTGGCTGGGATTCTTTCATTTAAATTTTATTCTCACTGAAAGATGGAAACTTGCAAATCTCTGTTCCATCTGCACGTGTGAACACGCAGGCATGCAAATGCAACTGTGTTTGGGAGCGAAGACGCATCTCCATTTGTATAAGAATACGAGGACCACCACAGAGAGCCCCCTATTTCTCTCAGCTGAAAAGTGGCTCTTGCTGCTCTGCTGTTGTGCATGTTGTGCATTTGCACATTTCATGTAAAGCCCACCCTGTTAGAGAGCCCATTAGTGGCTCTGTGTGGACAGACCATGTCGTTGGAGAGCAGAAAGAGAGAAAAGGAACAGTGAAGACAAATGAAAAGGAAAGGCAGGAAAGGTAATAAAATAAACTAAAGGAAAAAGACAAACACAGGAATAAAATGGCAGCTCACTCTTCCAAAGTAAACTTTGATGGTCAAATGAGAAGTAATCTAAGTAATCTCATAACAATGCACCAAAACCCACAGATTAAAATTAGTTTTTATTCAAATAACATAACAAACCACATAGTAATTCAAAGAATCCAGTCTCCAAATTGTCCACATCCAATGTTGAAAACACACCAAATAAAATTTACGAAACGTGTCAATGCACCCCTAATACTCCTGTACAGTCTTATATATCTGACTCACATTTCATTGTTATAGAGAGATGTGCTGCACATTGCAGCATTGCTTTCCTCCATATTTGGTTGTTTAGTGTAAGTAATTTGATCACCAGGTTGTCAAAATAATTTTTTACCCTTTCACAAAAAGATGACATGTACAGTAATTTAATAACCAGATATTTACATACAATGTTTCTTTAAAAAATTTTTTTAAAAAAAACTCATTGACTAATTTTTCTCTCACTCTCCAAAATCTCCTGTTTTGTGTAGGTTAAGACAATAATATTTTTAAAAAAAGCATTAGTGTTTTTTTAAATTCCAGAATAATGAGATATTTCATTTCAGCTTGCATCAAATTGCATTGGGGGAAATCTTTCTTCAACTTCTCACAAGAGTTTGCTCAAACTTTGTTGAGTCCCTGTTAGATCTTCTCATCTTCTTTCCTTAGTGGCCTTTCAGGTAGTGTTGGTAAATATGATTCATTTTAATTTATTCATACATGATTTGTTTGTGGATACGGACACACTCCCCTGCAAGGTATTTTGCTTTTACTTTGGTCGACCTGCACATTTCACACCAAAATATACTCAACTTGGGGCACAGAAACAATCTTCTTTCTCAATATTATGGTGGATATCTGACCTAAAAAGTAAAAATTCATTTAATGATGGTCAATAAAAACAAATTTTTGTCTTTTTATTGTGTTAGCTAAATATCCGGTGTCAACTAAGTAGCACACTTATGTGCAACCTCTAAATAAATATTGAGCCTATCAGTAATGTTACTTTACCTCATGTTAATCTATGCAAATGCTCAATCTGCACTAATGAAGATTCACTCACTTTCCATGCTGTTTTTAGTTTTAGAGTTTTATTACTTACCAGTTCTGTCAAAAATTGTGAAGGACATCATAATTTTTTCTTCAATGACTTCAGGAGTCAGTAGGTTAAGATGTGCTATTTGATACAATTAAAGTTTTTTGTGTTGTAGTTAAATTTGACAGAATTACACTTTTGGCTGCAGTTTAATCAAATGAATTTCCTTCTCTGTTTTCTTTTCTGAAAATCCCTCTTAAAACTTCTCTATTTTGGTTTACAGTGAATAATAAATAACTTAAATCAAAAATCCCAGCATGGCATGAGATGAGATCACAACAGACAACTCAAAGTCAGCAGGGAAGACCAGAGCCATCCCATTGACATCAAAGTGGTTCAGTCACAAAGAGTCAGGATTTACAACAAACTAGCCAATACATTAGCGTCTCTGCTACATGATAAAGCTTCTTCAGGGAGAAAAACACTCAAATTATGCATGGGCTTTGCTGCAACTCAACTTCAAAATGAGCTCTAGGATTTATTTTTAATCCTCAATCTACTGAGGTTGATTGTTGTCAAAATAAAATAAAATCCAACAAACTAAAATTCTAATTTTAATATTTTCCCAATATCACAGCATATCGTGGCTGTTTCAGTAAATTTTTTTCTGGGAGCTACATTTATTTTGGGAGAATTTATGCTTATGCAGTTTCTTTCAAACATTTGAACAGTTTTTAGACTGAGTCTGAACCCATTTTACTCTAGACGTTTTGAGATCTACAGGCTATTGAGGTGGGAATGACGTTTATCTGTTATTACAACTGAATGGCCTCCCTACAACTATGACTAAAGTAGATGCTGTACTGGTGTGTAAAAAATTCAATGGCATGAAGCTGATATTCTTTGTGGGGGAAATTCAGTATTACTGCCTCCCCGTTTGTGTTATTTCCTCTGATTTACAATTTTGCTTTTCACAAATGAAAAAGGAAAGTCAGTTTTTTGTTTTTCAAATATCTCTTGCACTCTAATACAAGCAGCACTTTGCCCATTTTTGAAGAAATTCATCAAATAAAAAGTTTGACCCAGTAACAGAAAAATTATATTTATTCATGATTGTTGAAATGTTGTAAATAGAGCAACACAATTTCCCATCTCTTTTAAATTTTTCTTTGATATTATCAACAGATTTTGTAGAAAATGCATTTGCTTCTGTTATGCTGAAATAAAAGTGTCAGCAAGTTGGATGATGCAGAACACAAGCTCCTCAAGTGACGGTTTAAATATTTTCCAACTGAGAACCAACAACCACAGGCAGGATAATGTCTGTGGTATCTACAGTTATGTTAAACCTCATTTAATGAGATAGTCTCTTAGCAGAGTGATTAATGGAAAGCTGAAGGACAAAAACTTGCATCTTAATTTGAATTCCATGTGAAAGGACAGATGGTTCAGAGAGAAAAGAAGTTATTCAACCCACCAACACAGTTCAGTTTCAGTGATGCTCTACTGCCCCCTTCTGGTTAATCTTTGTCATTGCAAGAATTGGTTTCTTGACAACCATTATGCGGTCTTTTAAAGCCATCTGGTGGGGAGCAAAGGTAGTGCATTTATGAAACTTAAGGAAAAATCTCAAAATCTCTTAACTGAAATATTAGAAAATTCTTCTCTGAAGTTCTGTTTACATACATATTTTCCTGATAAAAACCTTGAGAATAAGGAATTTGCTGGACATTAATCATATTTTAAAAAGATCTTCAAATAGCTAAATGAGCAAGAAAGAAAATATTGTGGAGAAGTTATTTTAACCTGTATTTGAACTCAAAGCTGCCAATAAAGTTTACTAAAAAGTCAATTTATCGTAGTAAATCTAGCTCCACATTAGGTTTTCTTTCTTTGTCAGGCATTAAGCACAAGATATGGAGATCTTAGTTCTCAAACGGCTGTCGCAGGTTTGATTCCTGGCCTGGCAACCTTTGTCACATTTCTTCCCTATTTTCTGATTACCCACTTTCTTGTCGATTCACTATCAAAGAAATGAAACTAGAGCCAATTAAAACCTTAAAACAATAAATAGTACAACCAAAAAGTTTAAAATTGCAGTTTTTTGGACTATAATCAAACTTTTGATCAGTTGAACAAGCTGATTGAGCATTGTGTAATTATACGAGTCTTTTGGTTTTGCTCTGCCCGTATTTTTTCTTTTTTTTTTTTTTTTTTTTACATTTTGCAGCTTTACTTAAAGCCTGGTTGTGATCAAGACGTGAAATGACAATACTTTTTTCCCATTGTAATATTTGAATCTAGATCACTGTAAAAAAAAATTCTAGAAACCCAGACTTCCGTTTTTTTTTTTTTTTTTTGTTCAAATCAAAATAAATTGTTACATATTAAATCCACACATTTTGTTTTTTACTCCGGGTTACATCGCTGCTAAAATTTGTCAGTCAGAACTTTTACAAGTTTTTGATGATAACTATGTTATCACAATATAAAGTAATACTAAAAGTGTGACACTTCTTTGCAAAAGCTGGAAAAAAAAATTATTTCAATCTGCTCTATTTTTAGCTCAAAGAATATTTGAGGTTAAGGCAAAAATTAGATTAAAAATCCATGTAACTGTTGTAAAGAGAACATTATATTATAAGATATTTACATCTCTATGTCAGCAGAGTGGACTCTTACCAAGTTGGTGGGCCTTTCTGAGGCAGGAGAGGGAAGCGTTAAGTCGGGCACATTCTTCTTCGTTGGCACCAAACTTCTGCAACAGCTCACACACCTGCTCCTCACTCATCTCCAGTAGGCCTTCTAAATTAACTTCCCCTGCATTCATCTCCTGAAAAGCATGCACACAAAAGATACACAGTACCATGAGAAATGGATCATAAAGACGTGTTCTGTGTTCCTTCTGTGACCCAAACTTGAAAAGTTGGTTGAGTCTGCGAGGAAACGCAAAACTCATGGTTCTTTTTTATTAGTATTAGCAGATACATGTCTAATTTCCTATCAGACACTTCTTGGTTAAATAAAAAATAAATATAAATCACCAGGGAATGAATAGAAAAATTCCTTGAGGAAAAAAAGTCCTGGACATTTGCAGTTTTTCCTCGTCACTTTAGTGCATTTCTCACATCACTTAACATTTGCATAATAGCCGTGCATTTCTCAAAACAGTACAAACCGCAAAAATCCCCACTGATATTCTGCAAAAGCATTTCAATTGCTCAAAATGAGTTCATGTCTCAAAAGAAGGTATTTATGTTAACAGTGTCAGTGTCATCAAATGAACATTTCTATTGGTTTCTCTATTATAACAACATTTCCAGTGGGTAGAAATGAAACAACAAAGAACTACACATCACCTCTGCGACCTCCTTCCTTAAGTTGACAATGCGGAACCAGTGGTCGAGGCGAGGGAAGTCTTCCAGCTCTGCACTGCGCTCCTCTAAGGCCACTTTGCACTTGCAGGACAGCTGGCGGCTGAAGTACTTCACCAACTTCCCCTGTTAAGGACAAACACGGCTCCATCACGAAAGTGATCCAAATCCATGCAACGTTTAAATACAACAAATTGTTCAACAAAGTGTTGAATATTATGAGAATTAAAAAATTCTAAATAAGTGAAAACAGACATTAAACAATGGTTGACAGCACAACTCGCACACTGTAAGGCCCAATTTTATAGTGCTGAAGAAAATGTGCTGTTTCTGAAAATAGAATTGAATAATAACTTTAAAATATTTTTATTTCTTGGTTTTAAACTGATAAATATTCCAGCTTTCAACTTAAAGGTGTATATTCTTATCCACATCCACTGCAGTATAGTCTTCCACAGCCTCTGTTAGAGCCATAAACAGAAAATATTTAAGTTATTTGTGTGATGGTTTGTTTTTTATCTTATCATATTTAGTCAAGAAGATTGACATTTGTTCAGGCCATTTTTATTGTGAAATGTAGTTTTATTTTGAAAGGCTAACTTCCTGCCACAGGGATTGTTATGTTAACTGTAGCTCTATCCTTACTCCAATGTCATTAAACATTAGACATGTCCAACACATAAAACCTACTCATAAGTTAAAATGGGCTTAATAGACTCGACAGATCTCCATCTTCAAAATACAAATATGAAAGACATGTACCTTTCTCTTTTCTACAAAATTAAGCTCTATTTTGTCACATAAATTCAGTGAAATGTGCTAAAGAATGTGTACATGTCTAATGCACATGTAAACATTACAAGCTTATATCTATTTCTAAGACATTTAAGCTTCTTCAGCTATTTTACGTCCAGACTATGAAGTTTATTAGTTAATAAGGCAATTCAAATGAATATCAAGACTGTGAATTATAAAACAAAATGAAAATAATATAAATCCACAGTCATACATAAAAATAATGAATCTTTTATTTCTTACTGATTCTGTATCTTTCAATACAAAATTAGAAAATGGAAACAAATTTTAAGTTTTCAGTCAGTCCCCTTGTGGTGACAGGTTAAAATTGCAACCTATCAAAATAGAATCTTAAATAGAGTTGAATTCTTTTATTCTAGAATATTTTATTTTCCCTGGAAATTTTCTTCAGTGACTTTTGTAATGAGAATAACTGATATGGTTAAAGTTTGTGTTATTTGTTATTTTCTCCAAAGAAGACACATTTACAGTCAACTAGGAAAAACAGCAAAACGTACTGCAACTAAGGAGAACATTTTTAATAAAAGAGATGGTGTTAAAAGACTTGTAAAAGGTAGTGAGAACAGAAAAATAGCATAATTTTCTATTCATATTTACATGCAAAAAAATGTTTCTTTTATGAAAGAAAAGATAGCTGCTATAAATTATATTTTAAGTTTCAACTTTAAAAGTTAAACTTTCTCACCTGACCTCAGATTTCACTGTGAAAGCTTTGGATTTGGATTAGTAACATTTATTGTTTTAAACTTTTCATATGTAATACTTCCAATTTGCTTTTACTAACCACCTTTATGTTTTAAAGAATAAAGTAAAATCTAAGCAGGTGAGTTTGAGAGAAAAACTATTCAAGATTTTTTTAATATAGTTTCTGTTCTTTCCTAAAGTAATTATTGGAAACAAATCGAGTTTAAAAATACAAATGTCTTAAACATGTGAAGGTACAGCTGTAAAGTGCTGAAACAGTAGAACTTTTATTATTGAACAAAATCACATGCTAAAAAAAGAACATACTGAATAAGATCTTAAATAACTGAAATCCTGCATCCAAAAACATTTTGGCTACATGATTTTGAGCATAACTCAGTAATGATATAGCAAATAATTCAATTGAAAAAGCTTGCCTCAATCAAAAATAAAACAATGCAATCATAATTTAAGAGCATAAAATTAAAAAACAGATTTTTATGGACTTGTAATTATATGAGCACCCCACAATAAATATTCTCAACACATGGAGGCCACCAAGGAAACAAAGGAACATGAAATGATGTCATCAATAAGTATTGGTGTGCATAGCTGCTCAATCAGACGTACACATGTACAGTTTAACAGAATGAAGGTTATAATAAACTATGTATGTCACTTCCATCCCCTCTGAAGTGCTTCATTAAAGCCAGCTATCAGGAAACTACTTGTCCTGACTGAATGACGCAGTATAAGCTCCTCACCACTGCTGAACCAGGACATATTAATGTCTTTGTTACTAAGGGGTTTTTTTGGTCTGATTGAAGACAATGGCGAGGGCCCACAGAGGGTGACGTGATGCTTGAGATTTAGATGATGCATTTGGATGGCCCAGTTCCAAAAGTACACCTACAAAATGACTCCTAGAAAATAGACATTGCTGGCCTACATCAGTGCATACCAAAGTAGAAACCAGTGGAGGAGGGACCAGAAAGTCACCTCTGAATGCAGAAAACCCTCCAGTAAAAGCTGCCCACGGCTGCTAACGTTCTGCCTGATAAGGCAGCTGCTCAGTCCACTCCTACAGAGAGACACAAATTTACCAAAAACACTTACTGTAGCTCTCACTCTTTCCGTGCAAGAAAATTCCTGGGGAAAATCATCTTAAAATGTATCGAACTGATTTTCTAAATATGTGTTCAAATATCTGAACAGTGAGTTTTTTGTTTTTTTATTTTAATCTAATGTCTTCTTGTTCATCACTCATTAAAGTCTACACTCAGAAAAACAAGTTATTTAAATACCATTAATATAATTTACCCATAAAATGTTCGTTTTGTACGCATTACAGAAATACAATTGATCTGATCTGACTAATTACGGTCTGCAGTTAGAGGCACTGTTACGATCTGCACCGCTTAAGAAATTATAAAAATATTTCTTTTAATTACATTCACATCATCTTACACTGAAATATTTTGAAAAATCTCATTTAAATTGATTGACAATAATTTGCATACATTATATATGTTTTGAATTGGAGTCTGCAGCTCAAAAAATACCAAAACACAACAGCTATATTTTAAAAGGCATACGAATGACATAATAATACACAAACTATCCACATTTTATACAGGCTATATCAGCACTGCCAAATTTAGACAAAAATTTTATTTGACACACAATTTGCCCAATGGTCTTGGAAGTTTTACTTGATTACAGTGTTTGGAAACTATCATTTAGCAATCTGTGATTTCCATGTTTACCCATGGTAAATAAATATAATGTGACAAAGAAGATCTATGTTTCTAGTCTCTATTCAATACAGGAAAAGTCAGAGTGAAGAAAGTGACTAAATTAGGTCAGATGTGTGTTTTTAATAAATTCCTACCAGTCAAAATCTGTTTGGAACAAAAGTTAGAGCCATAAAATAATGTAAACTACAGGAACTGTACCAAACAAATTTGGACAAAGACCCACGTTTATGACATGCATGTATAGTGGAGAACTATTGCAAAAGGTTGTATCTTGGCATAACCATGTATCTATCCATAGCAACTATATTTACTTTATGGCTTTGTAAAAAAGTCATCTTTACCACATTTGCCAACACTTGTAGAGTCCAAGAACAAGTACGATAAACATGAGAACGTAAAGAGTTTGCAGACCTGAGGAGCGCAATTAACTCAGCTGCTGTTCCCTTAAATCCTACATTAAAGATGGTCTGAAGAACAGAAAAATATGTGGAAAACAGATTAATTTAAAGAATTAAAATTAATCTGTCAGAAAAAGAGCTAAAAGGATGGGGTTTGATTCAAAAGTCAGAAATCACATTTTATTTGATCAAAAAACAATTTTTCTTTCTTTTATAACTGCTACAAGTGCCACATAATCTTTTAAATGGCAGTCTTTATGACATGAATAATGATGGTTTCTGACATCTTTTGAATCTGCATTATTATTGCTTCTATAAGAACCATTACAAAACTGTGCTGCAATTATAAAGCACTGATAAGGCAACATGAAAACTAGAACTGACGGAACATACTGCCCAGCATGTGTATAGACATAAGCTACAGTGACTTGCAGGATAACAATATGCCACAATTATACATGGTTTTTGCACTTTATTATCTTTACCTTCTGTCTCTCCCGTTGCACACACAGATTTCTTCTGCCAGCAGTATCTTATAAATCATCCATTTACACACGTTTAGTGGTGAGACTGTGACTTTTACATTTGGCAGAATTGGCAATCTGGGAAAACCCAGCTAAACAAGTTCATAAGTAGGATGATATCCAAGCAAATACCTCAAAAAGCTATTTCTTATTGCAAATATTCTCATGCCTGCAAGATCTTTTACATGTTTTGACATGGATAATAATGTGTTTCACATGAACTAGAGGTGATGATGGTGGTGAGAAAGACGCAGAAGGTGTCAGCTATAAAAACAATGGCAGCTTAGGAAAGAAAGGGTCCAAAAACAGTTTCAATGCTTATGATAGTAAAAGCTAACTGTGAAGATAAACACTGATTAGTAAAAATAGAATCCACGTTGTAGATTACATCTTACAACAACTGTATTTGAGAAACAGAACAACCCAGAAATGATAAATTACAGATATAGGTCGATGAATCCACAATCCACATTTATTGCATAGTCAACTAATGTCCTGGGGGTTTTATTATTATTGAAAAGTTAATTCAGCTTTGCATTTTTAAATACAGCCCAGACATGTCAGTCATTTATTAGCAAAAATGTTGTATAAACCAAATTGTACTGTATGTTTCACTAAAATAAACATATCTTTATCAGAGCGTGTTTTCAACGTCATTCAATCTGTAAATACATGTATGTTTGCAGAGTAAAGATGCAAAATTTAAGAAGAGAAGAGATCTATATTTACATCTCTGTACATGCAAGTAAAATCTGTCTTAAGCTACAATTGTTCAGAATGTCATAAAGTTTAGTGGAGGGATCTACTGTGCTAAATGAAACATTTTTTAAAAAATTGTTCAAACTCTATCATATTATTATTTCCAATACTTTTTATGCTTCTGCAGCAATTATTGTTGATTTATAATGTCGCGAGGCAAATTTAACGCAATAGATTTCAGATTGTAG